CGATGAAACATACAACTTTCCTCTAATTCCTAAATCCTTCCTCCCAACCCCCACCTCCCCACTATCATGATCTCAATTCTACCTTACAAATCTGGCTAGACCAGAGGATGTATACTGGTACAGATAGGAACTGGAAACACAGGGAATGCAGGACAGATGATTCCTTAAGGACCAGTGGTGAGAGTGATGATACCGGGAGGGTGGAGGGAGGGTGGGGTAGAAAGGGGGAAGCGATTATAAGGATCTACAGATAACCTCCTCCCTGGGGGATGGACAACAGAAAAGTGGGTGAAGGGAGACGTTGGACAGTATAAGATAAAAATAATAATTTATAAATTATCAAGGGTTCATGAGGGAAGAGGGAGGGGGGAAGGAGGGGGTAGAAATGAGGAGCTGATGCCAAAGGCTTAAGTGGAGAGCAAATGTTTTGAGAATATTTAGGGCAATGAATGTACAAATGTGCTTTACACAATTGATGTATGTATGGGTTGTGATAAGAGTTGTATGAGCCCCCAATAAAATGATTTAAAAAAAATAATACCACGAAAAAAAAGAAAGAAGATGTTTTGAAAATGATGATGACAATATATGTACAAGTGTGCTTGACACAATGGATGGATGGATTGTGATAAGAGCTGTAAGAGTCCCCAATAAAATGACTGCTAACCTAAAGGCCAGTGATTTGAACCCACTAGCCACTCTTTGTAAGAAATGATTGAGTGATCTACTCTCTAAACAACTACACCACCCGGGGCTCCTTACTCAATGAAAAAGTCTCAAAATGCACAAATAAACTTTAAGAGAATTGAAAAGAGAAAGAGACAACACAACAATAAGTGTCTTTATTATACCACATTCAATAAAAATCGAACAACGCAATCATCTAACTTGACCTCGTGGACACATACAGAATATGCTATTAAACAGTAGCACACTCTCTCCTGTGCACATGGAATATTCTTTAGGAGAGACCACATATCAGGCCACAAAGCAAACCTCAATACATTTAAAAATATAGAAGTCCTACAAAGCATCTTCTCAGATCATAAGCCTATGAAAAAAATTAGAAATCAATGCCAGGAGGATCATAGGGGAAAAGTAAATACATAGAAACTGAGTAACACTCTTTAAAAATGAATGGATCCCCGACTCGGATCCTCCCAGGAGGTCACTCTCCCCAGGCTCTGTCCAGGTGGCAGAGGGAAGCGTAGGGCTCTGCCCCATGATCACAGTCCTTTTCCACAGCGTCCTAGGTAAAGTGGGGCCTTGCGTCTGTGCCTGCATGTTCCTACAGCGTCTCAGAGTCCTGTGGGCAGTGACTGAGGAGACAGCCCTCCATGCAGGACCAGCCCTCTAATACACCCCGACAGAATGTAGGCTCTGTTTTATGATGAGTTAGACTTGTTTTCCACTTGTAATTTTCTGCAGAAAACTAATAATGAAGTAAAATAGCTTGGTGTTGAAAGAAAAAAAACTAATGGATAATGAAAGAAATCTTTTAAAATACATGTAGTGAATTAAATGAGACTGAAAACATAACAGCAAAAATCTTTGTGACACAGCAAATACAACATTCCTTGGACCAAATCAAAACCACAGATCACTAGCACTGGGGTGATTCTGCCACATAGCAACCCTGTAAAACAGACTAGAACTGCTCTTGGGTCTCTGAGATTGTAATTCTTTAAATATTGGGGTCCAGACACCAGGTGATTCTTCTTCCCTGGTAGCTCTTACTATGCTGTGTTCGTGGGATTTTAATGGAGCCTTTAATAGTGCTCTGAGTTCATCATTGGGCTACTGACCACAGGTTCAAACTCATCAGCCACTTCTCAGGAGAAAGAGGAGGATTTCTACTCTCTTTAAAGAGTTACCGTCTCAGGAACTTTGTATTCCTGATTGACTCAATGACAGTAGGTTTGTTTTGGTTTTAGAGGGATTTAGGGAAACTTTGGGATGACATGGGGCCCTAAGACTAGTGAGTATGTATTGGGCTTCTAACTATAAGGTTAGCAGTTTGAAATCACCAGTGGCTCCACAAGAGAAAGATGAGGATTTCGCTACTCCTGTAAAGATCTACAGTCTTGGAAACCCACAGGGGCGATTCCACACTGTCCTATAGTCTTTGTTAGTAGGAATTGACTTGATGGCAATGAGTTTGGGATTGTGTGTGTGTGTGTGTGTGTGTGTGTGTGTGTGTGTGTGTGTACAATGACTAAGTGTTCAACTGCTAACCTAAAGGCCAGTGATTTGAACCCACCAGTCACTGTGTAAAAAAGACCCAGTGATCTACTCTCTAAACAATCACAGCCTAGGAAACACTTAAGTGCAATTCTATTCTGTCCCATAGAATCATTGCTCTGCTTTGGAATGGATTGATGGTGCATAACAAAAACAACAGAGGGATTTTATTAGGGCTGTCTCTGATTACTTCCCAGGCAGCTGCTCTTTCTCAGAAAAGAAGTATGAATTACATTACTTCCTGCTACATGTAATTCTGAAAGTTTCTAGGATGTGATGGTATGCGCATTGCAGATAAAGGTTTATCTCCAGTCTTACTTCCATTCATCATTTGAATAACCATCTGAGCTTTACAGTTACCATGTGTCTGAGTTGGTTTTGCTATTTTTTTCTGGGATGTCTGTTTTTAAAGAAAGCAAAACTATTAAACTCAGAATGAAAACATCGTTTTAATTGTGTCTTTTAAAAGCAAATCGGGCCTGTGTTTAATATTCCTTTTGATAGCAGTTGCTCAGATAGGCTTGGATTCTTCTGAGAAACAGGAAGCGGCCGTTGGTGAGTTCTTACAACGCTACCTGAATGAAACCTCGGGGGAAGTCCCTAACTTTTGAGAAAGCGAGAACATAAAGCCGAACATTTTTTAAAAAGGAGCGTCAATATTCATATGAGAGAAACAGGTGGGATGAAACAGGAGAAAATACAATAGAAATAAAACTAGCTAAAAGTTCTGGCTAGTCCTCTGGTTTTTACAAAATGATTGCCATAGATGTTACTGTGCCTTTGATCAAGGAAACGTCACGATGACCCATGGAATTCATACGCCACCATGATTTCTCTCAGGAAATCCAGTTTTCCTTTACATGTTTGCTTCTGCTGCTCGTCGGTGTCTTTTGCAGACAACTTGTCCTCATGAAAGAGGTTTCTGCTTGGATTTGATATACATCTGTACTGATTGCTGCGACGAATATCGGATATGGAGCGCTGAGTATCTGCTTACCATAATGTAATAACGAGGAATACAAGAAATTCAATGCCTTTGCCACTTAAAAATCGGTTTTAGTAATGAAGACAGTCAATGTTTTAGTTTTGGAGTAAGTAAGGACAGAAATTATCCTGGTTCTTTGTTGGTGGAGGCATGAGAAATCACTCCAAATCTTGGATGTAAAAGTGGCATTCCTTTGCATGTGGCACGTGGATTCTAAAGCTTCTACTTGTTTAACTTAATGGTGGAGATGTTCCTTATGCATATTAATTTGACTGAGAATCTACTAGTGTATTTCATAGCATCAGGGGAAATTCCCCAAAATGCAAGTTATTTTTGGTTCTTCTGATTTTTCCCTATAAATCTTCTGTGTACAGAGCATGAGACCAAGCCTCAAAATATAAGACCTTAATCAGACCATGTATTATTATGAGAGTTCTTCTTTTACTTTCCCTTTTTTGCTCACCTGGCCTTGTTTAAATAGTCATTTTATTTAGGGATGCTTAATGTCTTTGAACACAGTGGCACTGCTTTAATCTCATAGCATCATAGTCTCTGTATGTCCCTTATGCCCTGAGGCAGTTGTGGATTCAGAATGAATCTCTATGGTAGTTCAAAGATGGATGAAAAAGAAAAGTTGTTAATTAAATATATCAATGCTTTTATCTTTAGCTTAACTTGATCAGGCCTAACACTAAATAAGCAAAGTAGCTTTGTATTGATGGCAAAATAAAGAAATGAAGAAGGTGAGTTTTTTTCCCGTTTACTCTGGCCATGTCGCCAAGAGGAACCGACCACTGGAGAAAGGTATCATGCGTGATGGGGAGTCAGAGACAAAGAGGGAGACTCCCAGTGAGATGTAGTAAAACAACGATGATAACAACACACTCAACATTACAATGATTGTGAAGTGACCCGGCAAAATATTTTGGTATATTATATAACTTGACAGCTCAAAGTATAATTTATATATACAGTGAGATAGTTAAGATTTACTGTGCCAACATGGCCAATGAACACATGTGGGATTAATTGAAGGGTGGAGAGGTAAATGGCTCGGCAAGCCTCACCTTTCTTGTCTCTTGCCTTTGATGATCAGACCAGTGTACCAGTGCCTTGCTTGTTCTGTGCCTCAATTTGCAAGCTACACTACCTGTGGGACACCTAACCCATGGACTGTGTCACTGTAATTTGAAGTTTCCTTAAGACTTGCTTTGCCACACTACCCGAATATGCATCTCTTAAGCTGGGGACTGTCAGAGCCTGTCATCTGGCTGACTATTGGTGACCTGCCTTGCTGTTTGCTGCCTGTGGCCGGATAGCCTGAATTGCTCTACCGAAAACTATCTGGCGGCCCTCAAGACTTGAAGGACTGCCAGTGTATTAGCTGCCTCACAGGAGTGAGTTGCACTGAGCCATTTGTACTGCTTTATAGATGAATTAAATTTATTTCTTATGTTTTTTATCTATCTATATAAATATATATAAAATTATTAGTGTCCTGATTTTGTTTCTCTAGAGAACCCTGTCTAACATATACACCAAGGTCAGTTACATACTAAAATTAACAACAACAATAAAAATTAAAGAGTATCCACAGGATTCAAACAAAAACACAAAAACCAACTAGAGTAATACATAATATGCAAATTGTCCAGAATACAGTCCATAATTACTCAGTAAATGAAAGAGAAAACACCTCAAAATCAAAGTCACTGCCATCGAGTCCACACTGCCTCATAGCAAGCCTCTAGGATAGGGTAAAACTGCTCCTGTGGGTTTCTCAGATTACAGCTCTTTCCAGGAGTAGAAAACCTACCTTTCTCCCATGGAGCTGTTGGCAGTTTCAAACTGGTGACCTTGCAGTTGACAGTCCAACTTATAACCACTACACCACCAGGGTTCCTTGTATGTGAAGAACCAGGCAAATCTTAACACAAAATACAAAAAGTCAGCTATTTAAACTATTTACCATTGGCAAAATCAATAACTCTGTCAAATGACCTTATGCCCCAGGGAGAAGATCAATATTGTTTTCTAACATAAAATGATAATGATATCTAAGATGAACTAGAGACATATGTTAACCGTAGATACATGAATGGAACACTTAGTTCTAGTCCCAATGTAAAAACAATTAGTTCTTCTGATGTGGTACCCTACTTGATACCTGCCCGTAAAGAGATCGCTGAATATATGGGTGCTACAGTAAAATTTGGTGAAGAAACTAGATGGTGCCCGGCTAACAAAAAGAATAGTGTCTGGGGTCTTAAAGACTTGTCTTCAAACAAGCAGCCATCTAAATGTGGCATCAATTAAATCCACATGAAAACATCACACCACCCTTTGTGATCCAGAGATTGTAAATAATATTATCCAAATCCAAAGGAGGGAATTGTATCAGAGCTTAAGTTGTGAACACCTGGCTTGCAAAAGGCTTTGGATGACAATGTTGTTAATGTTGTTAGGTGCCATCAAGTAGGCTTCAGCTCCTAGTAACCCCATGCACAACAGAACAAAACACTGCGTGATCCTGCATCATCCTCACAATTACTCCTATGCCTGAGCCCATTGATGCAGCCAGTGTCAGTCCAAGTAAGCAAGGGACTTCCTCTTTTATTGTCACCCCTTCACTTCACCAAACATGATGCTTTTCTCCAAGGACTGGTATCTTCTGACAATATGTCTAAAATAGGTGAGACCAACTCTTGCCATCTTTGTCGCTAAGGAGCACTCCAGCCTTACTTCTTCGCATGCAGATCAGTTTGTCCTTCTAACAACAGTCTATGGTATTTTCAGTATTCTTCTCCAGCACCACAATTCACATGCATTGATTCTGCTAGGATTTTCTTTATTAAACTTACAACTTCACATGCATATGAGGAAATGGAGAATACCATTGCTTGGGTCAGGTGCACCTTAGTCCTTAGAGTAACATGCTTGTTTTGCAATGCTCTTAAGAGGTGTTGTACAGCAGATTCACCTAATTCAACTGGTGTTTGATCTCTTAACTACTACTTCCAAGATCATTGATTATAGAGCCAAGTAAGATGAAATCCTTGATACCTTCAACCTTTTTCTTATTTATCATGATGCTATCTACTGGTCCAGTTGTGAAGCTTTTAGTC